AAAAAAAGTAAACCCAAAGACATCAACCAGCAAAAATATAGCAATTCCAAGTTTCGATCTTGGGACCTCAGGGTTATGAGCCCCGCGCGCTTCCTCTGCGCCAAATTGCTTTCAATCCTGCTTAACAGATGAGTTCGATGTGCGGAAGTAAGGGTATAGCACATTATGTAGCAGATAAAAATCTGCCGAAGATAACGCGCCGCAATGGCTTAGCGCATTTTATAAACAGATACGGACAAGCTTTGAATCGTAACTCCTCCTCCCGTGACTATTCATTTGAACCCTTATTGTTCGGTGTTATTTTTTGTCTGGATCTGTTTGCGAGGAAGAAGGAATCGCTTTGTTATATACAGCTTTTTTCATTATCATGTAAGGGATATATTGCAAAATTAAACGCCATCTTTAGTTTGTAATAAAGCTAGCTAAGGCGGTGCGTATCGATTTTATTGCTCAGGATTCCAACTTGATAGGTGGCGTGACAGCCACTTTGATAACGCATAGGCGGGAATTGCTGCTGGGTGTTGCTGCGCACAATGGATGGGGATACAAATCGGACTAATTGAAAGCGATGAGCGGTCTGGGTCGCCCGCCATCAGACTCCAGTTGAGGAGTTGAGGGCCAGCTTCTTATAGCCTACACGGAAATAGAGCCAAGCTATAAGATTTCTAGAGCAACGACTGTATTGTGCTGTACGTATGTAACGACTTATTCGGAACAAAAACAGAGACAAGAAACTCTTGTAGATAGATTGTTGTGCAGCCACAGCACAATCAGGGGAGGCGCATTCATTCCCGCCTGATTTGCTTATTTCGAAGCATGGTCCTGATGGCCAGCTGCATAACGAGCATACATATCTGACTTGCCTGTAGATCTTCGAACATAGCAATACAATAGCTTGAATGGAGAGCAAGAAACCTATGGAAACCAGAGCTTCAAACCTGCTAGAAAAAAAAAGAAAAAAAAAATCACGTGATGAGAGCGGATCAACCCCAGAAAGTGTCCGATACAACGGTGTGAGACAAAGGTAAGCATGTAAAACAGCGCAGAATGTCAAGTTTGCAAGCAAATTGTAAGCAAAATGAAAAGGCTAGTTGGATATTCCTGAGCCACCAAACAAGGAATGTGATAAATGAATGGAGAATGAGAACTGGCAAAGGACGCGGGAGCAAAGGAGATGAGGAGATGGATGTCAAGCCAACAAAAGAGGAGAGCACACATAGCGTGCTGAGACATCCCCGCCAAGAGCCAAAATTCGGTCCGGCCTTCACGCGACGACGACCACACTTCCGTTATTGACTCGACTCCTCCTCGCCCTTCACCTACATAATCCATAACTAACCACCATTACAATATATTTTCTGGAGACCGATATCAAGAAAATGGCTTACATTTGGCTTCCTTTCTTCCACTCTGTGTTAGGGCCAGGTCTCAAGTGAAGCCTGGTCCTGACCCCCACTTGATACCTAGAGTCTTTGGAGAGAACGCTCTTGATTGTTGTCCTCTTTCTGCTTCGAATTTGTCATGTGCGAATGAGCCTCTGATTTGTTTGTGCTGCAATCTACTGAAATATAAGCGTTATCTCACATATGCAATCAATCTTGAAACATTCTACCATTTACCGCGTATCTACTACCTTTGACATAATCTATATTCGTTCTTATCTGATTTTAAAGTTCTCGGCATGCGATTCGGATTCTGGCTACTCGGAGGGTAGAGTGGAACTGCTACGATTTAGTGAATCGAGCGAAGCCTTTAATCGGTGACTGGGCAGCATGGTTCTCGGTTTTCAGTATCCGCATTTTCGCTCCTGCTAGGAAGTGGTGGCGGCTCCATGGGCTCTGATGGCAGGAATGGACAGAAATCCAATGACATCTAGGTAACTTGTCATATCTCTCCTGCCCTTTTGGGTACCCGCCAACTTGAACCTCAATATCTGCGGCCTCGCCACTAGAAATAAAACATGTTGGTGCACTACAACAGAGATGCACTTTGAAGGATATTAGTTAAGGTATATATGAATTTGATTTCAGAGCCTGACTGTGTTCTTGCCCAATACGGCTAGAGCAATAACTCCAGACTGGCAGGCTAGGCAGTGCTCTGCGACATATACAGCTGTTTTTTCTCATCGTTGAGTGACGAGGGGAATGTGTTTCTCTTGGTGCCTGGGAAACTTGTGAAACCATGCCGCCATTCATTCGACGGTTCAATAGAACACGCAACGCGGGATGGTGACATAATCTGAAGGGTCACATGCCTTCGCCCTCTCCAGCCTTTCTTATGTTTGGCACGAAGCAGGTCCAGAAACTTCCAGATTAGAGGCGGGTATTCTCCAAACGATATTCTACTTCAAAGATCTAAACTCAAAGTCTGAGCTAGAAGTGAATAAAGTGGTCCAAGCTCTCTTAGCTTGACCTCGTTGTAGCCATCTTCACTATTATAACGCCAGAATTCACCAACTGAACTTCACCTTTCAACATCCAGACGAGAATTTGTGTGGACTGTGCATTATTTGTAAGCTTATTCCCATGATCACTGACCAGCTCGGTACGAGGTTTTGCCGGCGCCTGCCTCTTTTCGTGTCTTGTTTACTTATCATTTTTAACGAGGATTTTTAACCGAGAGTTGAAGTATATCTTCAACATGAACAATTTGGACTGATACTTTCAAATCACAAGACTGCAAAGATTGATCTGAGAATTATCTGGCTGTCCTATACTGCTGCAGTGCTGACTGGCTCACCTTTCACTTCCTTAGACGACCCTATCATAATTTTGAACGACTAATCAGGTCCACACTATTAGCCGCTCCGCTTAAATCCTCGAGGGTATGAGAGTTAGCTTTCTTTAGCTCTTCAGTGTTGCAATAGAACTGAATCTTTGAAATCTTACCACCATCTGTGTACTGTTCTTCTCGCACAATTCATCATCCCCACCTGAAGATCTGTTGCTAACAACATGATGCGCAGCAATCGTAAGGCTAGGTTCTTGTGTACGTTTGCTCTACCCTTGACCGCGCCTTCCTCCCAACACAAACTCTTTGCTAATCTCCTTCCTTACAGACCCTCCACCGAGATTCACACCCTTCTACCCTGAACGCGTAGTGAACCCCTTAGGGCAGTATCAACACATTAAATTCATCTTGTCGTCAGAACCCACGCCCCCTGCCGTTACGCCAAGAACCTTCGTCGGCAGAAGCTCTCTACAAGAAGAAATCGACCTTGGCATTGCTACTGCCCACCTTCTTCCCAGATCAGCATCCGCCGAGATACTCTGTAGACCTCGAACATTCGCAGAAGCAGCCATGACGACCCCCCCTGTCCGTCGCAACAGCGGCGCGCTACATGATACCGATATTTCGGACGAATCCGCCTTGCCGGGCCGATCTATGCTCGCGCTCAAGAGAAAGAAGAAGATCGCGAAGTGGCAGCCATTAGATCTCTCGGAATCTAACAACACAGATGATGATACAGAAGGCGGTGATGATGCCACAAGCGCGGTGGCGTCTAGCGCGCTTCCGACACGCGCGAATACCCCCAACCCGAAGCCCCGCGTCCCCGAATATTCACCTCCCACCGCCTCTGCCTCTTCCTCGTTCCAACACACAAATAACACTGCAAGGTCGATCTCTCCCGACAACAACTCGACTTTTGAGGTCAAAGGCAACGACAACGTGGTCAAGGAATACGCCGAGGACACCAGTTTCAAGCACGTCTACAGCACTCCCGTTAAGCAGGAGTCCATTGTCCCCAACGCGTCAGGTCACCATCTCGGCGCCACGGCCCCCCTCTACGAGTCTCCCGGTCTCTACACCCCAAGCCACACCCCGACCCAGGCCACCTTCTCATCGTCGCACATCAACCCGTTGATCGACAACGACCCTACTCCACGACTCTCGCAGGCACAGTTTCCCGCTCCCTACAACCACATTGCACTGTCCCCGCTGGATCAAGGCACCTTTGGCGGCGACGAAGAAGAGGATCCGAATCGATCTGATACCCAATCCACCAAGGAACGAACTGCCGCCGTGCTTGCTCGACTGACCAACACCGCCATGGCTGGAAGAGGCAAGAACGTCGTCGCTCTCGGCGAGGACCTGTTCGACTCTGTTGAGTGGGATCCCGAGCTCCCCAAGGCTCCTCCTCCAACGGAGTCGCCCGAGCCGGTCACCATCAAGCCCCAACCCGTTGCCTACACAACCGTGGGCTCGCTCGTTGACCCCAATGCTGTAACACAGTTCAGCGCTCCCAACCGCATCCAGCGAGAGGGTGCCAATCGCCGTCAAATGCCATTGTCTGCGCTGCAATCGCGGGCATTGGCTGAGGGGTTCATGCAACCTCGTGGCCCACCACCACCTCTCAATATGGCTAACAGCATGCAATACGCACAACAGCTCGGACGAAAGTACACCCAAGTCGGCCAATCCAGCCCCTCTTCCCTGTCCTCTACTTTTTCCACACTGTTGACAGATCATGAAAAGGAGATCCTCATCAGAAACTGTCAGCCGGAAGCTTTCTCTAGCAACAGCGAGGTCCCATCGGCACCTTTCCCCTACGATTTCGTGGTCACGTCCCGGCCAACAGACGAGAACCGCAAACTACGGGACCTGGACGATACCCGTGCTCGCTCGAACAGCTTCAAGGGCTCACTTCAAGGGATGGATAAGATGCATACTCTATACAACCTCTCACTCTTCGAGAATCCGATGCAGGAGATGGCGAGAAGCAGACTGGCGGAATTGTCGTTGAAGTCGCAAACCATTGGAAAGACGGTCGGAAACCCACGCGGCCTGACACCATACGAGGTCTCACTTCAGAATCAACGACCATCGACCTTGTCCGCTGCTGCCGAGTCATATAATGGCCCAGGCGAACTCAATCGTGGTTACCAGTTCCCTCCCCCTGGTCTTGTGATCCCTCAAGCCAATCCTCTCCGGGCAGCTTTAAACAACTCTCAAACGGACATTCCGCAACAACCTCAACGAGCCGGCATGCCTCAGCCGCTCACTGCAGGACCCCCGGGACAACGCCAATTCTACTCGGGCTCGAGCCAGTTTGGTGCTCAACCTAGCCAGAACACTCAACAAAGCCAGGGTGCGTCTCATACGCCGGGAAGCTTAGATTGGGGAAACCTCAAGAATGGTGGAGCTGCCGCTTCTGCAACTCAGGTTCCGCAAAATTTTACCCAGAGCAAAGGCTACCCTTCAACCCCGGTCTACGATACCATTCCCAGAGAGCAAGCTCTTCAATACTATCCCAATGGATTTCCTGAGGGAATGGATTCCTTCAATGATCACTGGGGCTATGTCTCAGAAGAAAACCAAAGAGCTATGGATCGGAGCTTCCTTGACGCTGATCAACTGAAAGCCATTCGCGAGAAGGAAGATGAAGATACCCATTATCAGGGACAACGCCGCTACGTGACGATGAGTATCGATGATTACATCGCGGAGTAAGCTAACTATCCCCTCCTCTTCCGGAAACCATGGCTAATTCACAGGTACATTAGACACAAGGAGCGCCAGACCCACTCAGCTAACAATCCCTGGGGCAATATCTCCCCCCCCGAGAGAATCACACAACCCATGATCCCACAGGAGATCGCCATCGAGGATGCTCTAAAGATCCCCGTTGAAGATACCGTTGGTCCCCTCCTCCCCGGCGTCTATGGTTCTCTGCTTGCATACCGAGAGACGGGCCCTGGCTCTCGCGCTCGGATGTCCGGCTTTGTGACCCCAGCTCCGCATTTGATTGACACGAGCCCTACCGGCAACGACACTTCGTTCGGCGAGGATTGGGGCAACCCAAACTTCAGAAGCCAGGACACGAAGCCGGCCAGCAGCCGGGCTACCTCGGGTTTGGACGCTCTGCGAGAAATCGGCAATGCTCGGTCTGGTGGTCGCATTGCGGGTGGCAATGGCAAGTGGTATGGCAACCAATAAAGATCTCTCTTCTGCTGCGATATAATTGGATCGCTTGAAACTACTTGGCTGATTGGCAATACAACTCATGGATGGATGGGAGAAATTTGGTGGTGGTGGATATGGCACGATGACAGCAGTGGTTACGATTTGATGCTACGCCTGGATGTGGTGCGCGCGTGGCAGGATGCGCTAAGTGCTTTGAATTGCTTCTTTCTCGGGCCGCAAACTATTCTGGCAGACTGTTGCCTTTCATCTTCGTTTCGTTGTTGCTTGACATATTTCCGGTTGTTCGGAGGGTGGTGGTGAGATCGCCTTCTGATCCAACTAGAATAGCTATTCTTCTTAGAGTAGCACGCCAAGTGCAATGAACGTTTGATTATTTACATTTGATAGCCCCCGATTCTTCCTGTGTGATTCTGCCTTTTTTCTTTAGTTAAAGTTGGAAAAAAAACCTCTCGCCGTTATCTCTCGCTCAGTCACTCACCCACCCTTCCTTCCTCTCTCGAATAGGGTTTTTTTTGGGGGGGGGGGGGGGCGGCGTGTTCGTCGTCTACTAGTC